CCCGCGTGGCTCCGCCAGGCTGCGCCAGGCCAGCGGCACCCCCAGCAGCGGGCAGCCCCAGCACCCCTCCAGGGACTCGCCGAGGCGCCACGGCCTGGCACAACACGACCGTTCGGGCCGTGACTCGGCGCCCGAACCCAAGAACAGAGGGGTTTGGGGCTGCAGGTGCTCACACGCCGGCCGTGCAGAGGGGAACGCAGCTGAGCCGACTCCTGCTTGTGGAGCAGCAGCGCGAGGCTGCCCAGCGCCGCGCACACTCACCTCTGCCACCAAGTCCTCCACGGCCCATGGCGCCTCTGCCCAGGCCGCCTCTGCCAGGGCCACCGCGACCTCTAAGGCCACCTCTTCGCAGGCCCATCCTGGGGGACATCCCTCGTCCTCCACGAAGCAGGCCCTGACCTTCAACAGAGAAAGGGAATTCGAACCCGGAAGAAATTCAGTTTTCGAGCCCGAGCGACAGAACCGCAGTCACGCTGGCGAGCGGACGGCGTGACCGACACAGAGGCAACTCCGGCGCAGCCGCGGTACCGACCTCGGAGCGGGACTCCTCCTCTCAGCAGAGCTCTGGCTCCCCGGCCACCCCGCATGGCTCCTCGTGGCAAGCCTCTCTGCCCCATGGCCAGTCCTCTTCCTCCCATGGCTCCGCGAGCGAGCGGTCCCGCCGGCCGGCCTAAACGTGCCTGAATGTTACTTTTACCGAGGCGTTGCTTTAAGCTCTTCTGGAATAGATTTTTAAGAAACAAGGAAATCATGCAGCAATCTTGGATTTGCAACGCAAGCAGCACAGCAATCACCTATCCATAAGCGGCGTGTTGGTTTTGTTGGGTTTTATTTTTAAACAAAATCGAGGGTCACCAGCTCTCTGCAATATATAACCAAGCTTCAAAGGAAGACAATCAAATCTGCTCGGGAAGGGATAATTTGTGAAGGTCACACAGAGAACAAAGACCTTTCCTGGAAGCAAGTGTTTGTACAGAGACATGAAAGTTTGCAGATTTGGAAGGAAATCTTTTTCTCCCTCTTTAGCAGCGCTGCTCAGTCCAAACCAAAGCAGACACTTCATCCGCGAGGCAGCCCACTAATCCCTTCTGCTGGGAGGTGACAGTCCAAGCAAATCCCCAAGACAGAAAGCAACTACCCCTGCCGTGGCACAAGCCTAACCTACCTCCGCAGAGCCAGTGACATCTGTGCAGCCGCACGCCAGGGGTATCACTCCCAGCGGCCTAGGGCCCCATCCTGGCTGGGCTTCCACACAGACCAGGGCACAGCTAAGGAGAAGCATCAACTCGTCCATTGATACCATGAAAAAACCCCTACACCGAAGAAATCCACCCCCACGAGGACGGCAGCAAACCAGCCATCTTTGTGCATCTGCCTTTTGAAGTGGTTTTGTTTTTCTCTTTTCCACGTTGTGTTCTGTGCAGGCGCCAGACTCCGGTTCGGACGGGGCTGGCTCCCCCCAGGCCAGCTGCAGCAGCTCCCGTCCCCAAACGCTCCCGTCCCCAAACGCCTGCACCAGAACTGCGGCAGAGACGGCTCAACCGCTCCCGAAGCGGCGCCCGAACTGCCAGTTTATATCCCAGTATCCTTAACACGCCCCAGTACCAATCTGGTCTCCACAGAGCATCCTATAGCTTCTGTAGGCACCAGCGAGCCCTACAAGGAGCGAAAAAGCAACAGTGGGAACCTTCACGCTTGTCTCAAGAACAGGAGCTCTCGGCCCTAAGAAGGTGACGGGAGCTGCCATCAAGGCTGTATTTTACTGCAAGTCCCAGGAACTCCTTAAAGTTACCGCCTGTCTCCTTGATCCAAGCCTGGGAACAGCCAAAATAGTTCCTCTAAAATCAGTCTCCTCTGCAGCTGGAGTAAGGTTTTACGTTTTACTGCCTCAGAGTTTAGATTCAACTTCCAGAGCAACCTGCAGTCTTTGAAGAGCAACCCAACACCAACCAGATTGCCAGAGTTCCCCACAACGCCCTTCCGTGGCCCTCCCTTGCAGCACTTCATCCCAGCAGACCACAAAAGGACACCTATGCCCAACGCAAAAACCAAATGGGTCTGAGTGCTAAGCCAAGACTCGCTCTTCCCGGTTCCTCTGCGGCACCTCAATTCAGCAAGAGAAACTGTGACGCTTTCCATCCAGTTTCACTTACCACTTGTGAAACTCTTAACCTTTCACTTTATTATTTTTTTTAAAGGCAGAAAATAATTCAGACTACCATTTCCAGAGCTCTTGTTTACAAGCTCCGCGCGGCTAACTGGCACCACAGTCTGTTTTACAACAGAAATCTCAAGAGATCTCAAAAAGCAGCTGCATTCCTCCTCATCAGAGGGAGCCAAGAACGCGAGCACGTGCGGCAGGTTGAAGCACTCCAGCTATTCGCTCAGCTAAGAAATTTCCAGGGCCTTCTCCTCGGGTGCGAGAGAACGTACAGAACTGGATGTAACTCCTGCTGCAGGCGAGTCGCGCGCGGTGCCGCCACCCGAACTCACTGCCCAGCTCCGCGGCACCACCCTGCGAGTTCCAGGCTGGAGCTGACCTCACCAGCCTTCCCGTTTAAACCTCGCAAACCCCCTCCAGCCCGACAACGAGCAAGCCCCAGACAAGCAGCTCTTCTGTGTGTTCCTGAGCTTTCTGCTGTAGGGGGGACTCTCCCCCCCCGGCCCCTTCCCTATGCCCAAGGCTATGGAGAAGCGCATCGACTGCGGCAGGGAGAGCAAAACGAGGGCGTCTGCTCGGCTCCTCTGCTCGAACGACAGGAGGAATTTGAGGAAGGCTCTGCAGTCCTCATCGCTGACCCGGGGAACGACAGACTCCTTACACAAGGAGAGCGAGCACTACGCCTTAAACCCGGGCCTGCGTCCTAGCGAGCGCCAGCAACCCCCCGTTTGTTCGTCTGTTCCTCGCAGCCACCTGCTACCGAGGGAGCGCACCGAGAGCGCGGAGCTGGGGATGGGAGCGACCAGCCTCGGCTGGACAGGGAGTACTGGAAACAAGCTACGGCAGTTGAAACTGCAGCTAGATTGCGAGATGAAGCACTCGGCAGATCCAGAAACCCAGAATGAGAACACTTCTCTGAAAAAATAGAGAGGAGATATGAACAGCCAGCACAAACCCCCCCAAACTCAGCATTAACCAGCAAGTTACAAAGCATTACTTATCCGAAGCAAAGAGCGGGACCTCCTGCAAGCCCCTCCCGGGTCTCTCATTTTTAACTTCCAGGAGCATTTTTGGAAATCCACCACATCCCAACAAGCCAACTGCAGGCGACCAGCACCAACGGGCTGCCCCAGAATACGCCACTTTCTCTCACCTGTTTCAGCTTCAAAGCAGCCTGGACAGAAGGTCTATTCTCCATCTGCTGGGCCAGTCTTCTGTTTCTGGCACTGGCTAGCTGCTGCTGCTGCTGCATGGTAGCCCGAATATTCACTGGCATCGGCTGTTTGTTCTTCAGCATGTTAGTAAAGCTTCAAGGTCGAATAAAATGGGTGTTTAAATAAAGCTTTATTACATACATTTATTGGCATTTCATGGTTCTCAAGACTGGATCTCCAGATCCCATGAACCTTATGTAAGGAGTGGTACTTGGGTCACGTCATATGTGATTAGGTATTTCTCGTTTTCCACAAGTGTGCAAGAACTGGAAACTCAGAAATGATGTTGTATATTAATTCAGAAGTGACAAAGCTTTAGGTTACTGATTTGAGAAATGGCAGAAGGAATGAAAACAAGCAATAAGCAGAGATGATCATGACAGATGGGAGAGGACACCACAGAAACAGAAAAGCGAACTTAAGCCTGACTGCAAAAAGCCAAACTAACCCTCAAAAATCTGAGAAAACGCCTTAAACTCAATGCCAGAAGGCAGCTTTACAAAAGGCATCGCCCCGAGAAGGGACCGGTGTGCCTCCGGCGCGCCACAGCACCGGCGCCGTTGAGAAGTGCCACCACCCGAGCGCGCTCACTTAAGAGACGCGGTCCACTTGGCGATTTCTTTGGTGCATAAAGCACGTTCTGTCTTCAAGAGCGATGCAGGAGCGTTGGGACGCGCACAGCAAGACGTGAAACCTCCTCAGCAGCAACCCGTCAGCTTCCTACCGCGTCCCGGGAGCCACGCGAGACTGCGAACGAAAACACTCACAGATGACGAGCACGGACTGACTGACCAAAACGAGCGGCCCAGCGAGGCCTCCCCTGCGCTGCCCCTCCCCGCTCGTCCTTCCCGGGGCAGGCTCCGAGCACCGGTTCGCCCTACAGCTCACCGCAGCGCCGGCTAGAGCGGGGACTGCCCGCCAACGGCTCCCTTGATCCCTGGCTCAATGACGCTGCCCTGGCTAATCCCAGAGCGATTAGTAAGAAAGTGAAACGTCAGCGCAGCACCCCCGTTAGTTGTAGAACCGCCAAAGCTCCATGGCATGGGAAAACGGAAGAATACTCAACAGAAGAAAACGAAGAAATCCAGAAAAAGAGAGAGATGGAGATGAAGCAAAGCGTTTGCCTCTTACAAGGCCCAAAACATTGTTAAAGGGCCTTCGGGCTTGTTTAACGGCCTGCTGCCTGCCTCTTACAGGCCAGCCCACATGCACGTGTGTCTGCCTCGGACAAAGCAGCAAGCCTGCTGCAGCCTGGGTAACATGCTACCGTGCTGCAGCGTCAACTATATAAATGTAAAAACATGTGGAAGAAAAAGGGAGGGTGTGAGGTTTCTCTTTTTTGTTATAACACATCCCACCATATTTACGTGTCGAATAGTTTAGTATTAACTGCTATGGATAAATTTCTCCAAAACACTTGCCCTTTTAACCTCGTGTACCACATCTGTTGCAGTTTAAGACAGAGGTGCACAGCCATCTGCTCGATTTAGTGCGGTTAAAAGAGGGCAGAAACCACGTTGGTTTTTGGACACTGGACAGTGACAACTAAGTAAAAAAATTTCTTATGAGCTGAAGCTGCTGTTGGCTTCCTCACCGCTCGTTCAGAGACATCTTGGTGGTGCTCTTTAGCACAACCTTCGGTGCTGACTGTGCAGCCATCTTCAGATCAAGAGAATCTGCAAAACACAAGCACCAGATTTAACGTACAGCAAGGAAATCTCACGCTTACTTGACTAAACGTTAAAACCCCCTGCATTCCGCCTCCTTTGGCAGAGAGAATTGAGGACAGAGCAGGTAACGAGTACTCTACTCATGCATTTTTACTAAGTTTTCTAGGCCACTGCCATGATACAGCAAGTTTAATCGATCATCAGGTTATGCTAACTCATCCTTACTAAGAAGTCATCTTTTTAGAAAGTGAAAATTTTACCATTGGCGGGAGTAATGCTGCAAAAATACAGTCCATCAGCAGCCAAGATGGCACCCAAATGTCTTATTTAGTGCAGCACCTGGTGACACTGCTACACTTAACTGAGCTTTTAGTATCAGCAAGATGGAAAACCCAGTTCACTTTAGAGAGACGCATACCATACACTCGGCAATAAAATGCCAAGATTACTCTACAGAAGTCCTATATACTTTACAAATATAAGGGGCCATCCTCCCATGGTGATTGCCACCACTCGGACAGAGATAAACTGTAAGGGGGTGGTCACGTCGGCTTTTTAATACCTAATACTCCAGCAGGCAGCTCGTTCGCAGTCCTAATGTGGTTCTCTACCACGAGAACCTGCCCCACGCCTCATGAAAGCAGCGAAGGGATTTAAACTCAGCTGTTACTGATCTTCCGAGCTCAGCTCCGAGTGCTTTGGCAGTGATGAATACTACGGAAACGTGCTAAGCGCAAACCCACTAACTATGCGGATCCATTTATCTTCTTTTACAATTCATATCAAATTTAATGCTGAGGTGACTACCGAAGAGTACTCACCCTCAAAATACTTTGAGAAAAATGCTTTCTTTACACTGTTTTACAGCTCATCACCTAGAAATTCAGTCAACAGGCGGCCGCACCCCATTGTCTTTTTTTTTTTTAAGTTGAAAATGTTTTTAAAAGGCATTTTTCCTGAACACCAACCGCAGCACAGCTCGCAGAGGAAGCCCCGCTCCCCTAA